CCCCTTCCCCTTTTGAGCTAGGGATTTGAGGGGTTGGGCAGGTGTTGTCAGCTTCATTGCATTCAAATGGATCAATCTGTTGGTTCCAGAAGTTCTTGTTTACAACTAAGAAAAATAAAGAATAGCTAGTTAACTGGGAGTTCAATTGTGCTTGCAGACTAATTAGACTACCAAATATTTTAAGTCATGAATAAAAAATAAATTGCATATTTCTATTTTCTGGTGTGGGTGTTAATGCAAACGCATTGTTCTTACAGGTGAAACTGGTTGTGTTTGATAAGACAGGAACACTGACAGTTGGAAAGCCCACTGTTGTAAGTGCCGTGATATTCTCCAACATCTCTATGCAGGACTTCTGTGATGTAACTATCTCTGCTGAGGTGCGGCTTCTTTTCCCTTCTTCTGTTTCATATTTCTTTTCCTTAATACATATTTAGATGCAATGCCTACACTATTATCTGGTAGCTTTGCTATGTGGTGTATCATAGTCATGTATTTCTTATATTTGCACGTGAGAGGCGAGTCCATAATCTAAATTGTAGAGAACTGTATGATACAAAGAGACTGATCTTTAATTATCACCATAAAGTATCAGAGCTACTCTTCCCTATCCTATACTTTAGTAGTAATAGTAAATTATCACAACTGAATATTGTGGCACATGAGATAATAAATTCTCCTCAGCTTGTATTTGTAAAATGATACTTCATCTCTTCCCACTTTGTCCCTTTCTTTTTTAAGGATATGTAACTTGGATATTGGAGGCTTATTTAACTTGAACATTTTATATTGTGCTAGAAGAAAATATTAATTGTGATGGATATAATTACATAAGTTATTGCCAACTAGTATTAATTCCATTAAAGTGATACATTTTTGGACTTCCCCACAATGAAGTGGATTACCTGTATCATGTCCAAGTAGTAATCATTAAGCTAACTATCCAAAATATGGACTCAAATAAAATGAGGCATTTTCAAATGTGATATCAAAAGTGGACAAGTTATTAAAGTTGGGAGAAATATCAGTACTATGACCATCCATGTTAGATTCATATGTCCGGAATTTGATTTTCAGGCAAATAGTGAGCATCCTATTGCAAAAGCTGTTGTGGACCATGCCAAAAAGTTACGCCAGAAGCACAGTGCAGAAAATGAACATCACCCTGAGATAGAGGACTTTGAGGTGCACACTGGAGCTGGTGTGAGCGGGAAAGTTGGAGAACAAAGAATTCTTGTGGGAAACAGGAGGCTTATGCATGCTTTCAACGTCCCAGTTAGCAATGAAGTTGAGAACTACATTTCAGAGCATGAACAGCTTGCTCGTACTTGTGTCTTAGTTGCCGTGGATGGTAAAATTGCTGGGGCTTTTGCTGTGACTGATCCTGTAAAGCCAGACGCTGCACGTGTTGTTTCTTTTCTCAAATCAATGGACATCACAAGTGTCATGGTGACTGGTGATAACTGGGCGACAGCAAGAGCAATAGCAAGTGAAGTGGGAATTCAGATGGTGTTTGCTGAAACAGATCCACTGGGAAAAGCTGATAAGATTAAAGAATTGCAGGCAAACTTCTCTCCTCTTTCTTGATAATATGCATTATTTATTAAGATTCATGATTAGCAGTCCATGTACGAGGCAAGTTGTTTATCTACTAATGGCTTGGCAATTTTTGAATGTAAGTTTAATGCTTTACGGTTTCATTTTGAGTATGGTTTGCGATTGTTAGGAAAAAACTCCGGACTGTAAAAATGCTTTGAAGATCCTAGGCTCAAGTTAGCTTCTAATTTCTACCACTTTGATGCAGTTGAAAGGCACACCTGTTGCAATGGTAGGAGACGGGATAAACGATTCCCCAGCACTTGTTGCAGCTGATGTTGGGATGGCAATTGGTGCAGGCACTGATGTAGCTATAGAAGCCGCTGATGTTGTTCTCATCAAGAGCAATCTTGAAGACGTCGTCACAGCGTTAGATCTCTCTAGAAAGACAATGTCACGTATCCGACTCAATTATGTTTGGGCACTCGGGTACAATGTGCTTGGCATGCCAGTTGCTGCTGGTGTCTTGTTCCCCTTCACTGGAATCCGTTTGCCCCCATGGCTTGCTGGTGCGTGCATGGCGGCTTCTTCTATTAGCGTGGTTTGTTCATCGCTACTGCTGCAGTCTTATAAGAAACCTCTGCATTCTCGAGTCAATTAATCATAGTTTTCTTAAGTTCTTGAAATAATCACCATTAGTGTTAGTTTCTAGCTTAAGCATTGCTTTCAATTTGACCAAAATGAAGGTCAAAGAGGGGCATAAATAGAAAATGATTGTTGTATTTTAGTCTTTCTCAATATGATACATCTTATTAGCTACTTTATCTCATTTGTAGAATTTACAAATGCTAGTGTCTTTACTAATGGTATGATACTATAGCAGTAAGCCTAGTCATCGCNACCGTTGTCAGGCAAGCCAACGCGGAAATATTCGTGAATTCTTATTTTACTTACCCAAAACAGTTACAACATTTTTTCTTAATTTGCAATTAAAAGCAGGTGATAATATGCAACATTCAATAATAATTATACAATCCAAAAGAAACGTCTACTAATGTGTGTGCCAAGACCTGGTGTCACAAGCTGTGGGCAACTAGTAGAATATACAAAATAATACATCTATCCTACCGTCTGAAATAGAATAGACAGTCAAAAGTAAGGAAGACTCCATCCAACTGCTGATCGACACAAGAAGGGAAAGCAACTCACCGTGGAAGTCTCGGACTATGATCAGGGACGCGCACCGGTCTGATAACAAGATGAACCTGTCTCAGAGCCTGTACAATTAAGTACAGAAGCATAGCATGAGTACATAAACAATATGTACCCGGTAAGTATCCCGTCTAATCTCGAAGAAGTAGAGACGAGAGTTCGACTTGATACCTACTAGGGCTAAATAATATAATATGATGTTATGCCAGGTATGATGGTCACAATATATAACATGTGAAATAAGTATTTCTAAGTCATGTCATTGTAACACCCCAGTTAATCCTTTACAATTTAAACCATGTAATAGGCAGGTCATCAATAATAAATTCACATAAATATCATGCGCACGTTATGCCGAGGTCGACGACCCGATCCAACACAAAAGAAACTGTGCACTGCCAGAGGGTCGAATGACGTGAACCATAGATGCATCTATTTCTACCGAGGCGATCGGCCCGATCCACAAGTATCAATTATCAACAGAAGAATACAAGAAGACGCATTTATATTCAAATAAACTCATACAAGTATTCAACACAACATATGTTCACTTATGTTCATTTCCAATTCTCTGGCATATCTTAACTGATCACATTAGCAAAAAGACATACAACATTTGCAATTATAGCATGACACGGGTCCTAAACTACCCGGACAATTAACATGATAGCAGCTACACACAGACTCTCATCACCTAGTGCGTATGTAGCCCCCGCATTTAGTAGCAAATTATACAATTATTACTACTATGGTTACAATTCTCTCTTACAAGGTTAGAAAGGAGACTCACCTCGCTCCAAAGTGTACTTCCAATACCAAGAACGATCCCGAACCCTCAATTTGGAGCCGAACGATCCAAAACTAGTTAAATGGGGTAAGAACTAGTCAATACAAGCTCATAAGGTCACATCCTAACTATTAAAGCAATTTCCAAACCTTAAACACAAGTTTCCTAAAATCTGACTCCGGGCCCACGTGCCCGGATTCTGAAATTTTTCGAAGAAAGTTGTTCTTTGTGACCTAAGGATCAATAATATATGATTTCTACTTCACTTCATAACCAATTTCGTGAAAAAATATAAGTTTTATCAAAACACTAGGTTTTGCTCTAATCCCATGATTTTACCTTAATCCTAGTATTTAATCTACCTAAGACACAAGTATTAAACTAGGAATAGGTGGGATAAACTTACCTCAAGATGCTAGGTGAAAGTCTTCTCTCAAAAGCTCCAAAATCGCCCAATGGAGGAGTGAAAAGTGGCAAAAATGACTTAGAACCCGTATTAAATGAAGCTCACTGCTTCAGCGATTTCCGCATCTGCGATCCCGCTTCTGCGAGGAAGAGACCGCATCCGCAGAATTGGCCAAGCGGGCTGGGACCGCTTCTGAGGTCTTAAGCCACTTCTGCGTCTTGAGAGCTGCTTCTGCAGTTTTGGGCCTGGCATGCCTTGGCCGTATCTGCGAGAGGACGACCGCTTCTACGGTCTCGCACCTGCGGCTGACCAGCCGTAGGTGCGGTTATGACAGAAGCAGATGCTTCAGCTCTTCTCAACCTTTCCAACTTCACTCGAGCCTCGTCCAATTGACGCTCGGGGATCCCGGGCCCCGCTCGAACATACCGACAAGTCTAAAATTATGAAACGGATCTGCTCGAACCTTTGGAACGCCCGAAACAACGCTAAATCTAAGAATCACCCCCTAAAACCAATTGAATCAAACTTATGAACTTCAAGTTCTTAATTCTCCTTTAACGAGCCGAAACGCACCTAAACTACTCGGATTGACACCGAATTTTGCGGGCAAGTCCTAAATGTTATATTGAATCTGTACCGGGCTCCGGAACCAACATACGAGCCCGATACCCATGTGATCAATCATTAATTAGTTTCTTTAAATCCTTAGAATTTCAGTTTAACAATTTCTCATAACAATTAATTACTCGGCCTAGGGACTTCGGAATTCAATTCCGAGCATACGCTCAGGTCCCAGATTTTCCTACGGACCCTTCGGGACCGTCAAAATACGAATCCGGATCTGTTTGCTAAAAATATTGATCAAAGTCAAACTTAGCCTTTTAAGAAAATCTAAAGGAATCAAATGAGCATATTTCAACCCAAATCCTTCCAATTCCTGAACCCGCCATCCCCGCCATCCCCGCAGGGTCGTAAATTAGTTAAAGCAAGAGCGGGAAGTTTTATTTAGGGGGACGGGGTTCTAAAAAGCAAAACGACCAGTCGGGTCTTTACATTCTCCACCTCTTAAACAAATGTTCGTCCTCGAACGGATATAGAAAAGTACATGAGGTGCTGAATAAATGTGGGTATCTACTCTGTATGTCCTCCTCGGACTCCCAGGTCACCTATTCGACTAGTTGGCCCCTCCACTGGACCTTTACCGTTGAAATCCTCTTGGATCTTAACTGGCGATCCTGTTTATCAATAATGGCAACTGGCTCCTCCTCGTAACTCAGGCTCTCATCCAACTGAATAGTACTGAAGTCCAACACATGGGACAAGTCGGCATGATACCTCCAAAGCATGAACATGTGAAAGACTGGGTGAACTCCCGATAAACTGGGGGGGTAAAGCAATCTCGTAAGCAACCTCCCCAACTCGTCTCAACACCTCAAATGAGCCAATAAACCTTGGGCTCAGCTTGCCCTTCTTCCCGAACCTCATAACACCCTTCATTGGCGAGACTTTCAAGAGGACCTTCTCGCCAACCATGAATGATACATCGCGCGCCTCCTGATCCGCATAACTCTTTTGTCTGGATTGAGCTGTGCGAAGCCTCTCCTGAATCAACTTTACATTGTCCAAGGCATCTTGCACCAAATTGTACCGTATAACTTAGCCTCACCAAGCTCGAACCACCCAATAGGAAAACGACACCGCCGACCATATAAAGCCTCAAATGGAGCCATCTCAATGATGGACTGATAGCTGTTGTTGTAAGCAAACTCTACCAAAGGAAAGAACTGATCCCACTGTTCTCCAAAGTCAATCACACATGCTCTAAGCATGTCCTCCAAGATCTGAACTGCCCGCTCCGACTGCCTGTCGGTCTGTGGATGAAATGTTGTGCTAAGCTCCACGCGGGTCCCCAACTCACCCTGAACAGCTTTCCAGAAATGAGAAGTGAACTGAGGGCCTCTATCTGATATGATGGAAACAGGCACACCGTGCAACCGGACTATCTCCCGAATGTAAATCTGAGCCCGCCTCTCCGAAGTGTAAGTGGTCACAACCAGTATAAAGTGTGCTGACTTGGTCAATCTATCCACGATGACCCATACTGCATCAAAATTCCGCAAGGCCCGAGGCAAGCCAACTACGAAATCCATAGTAATGCGCTCCCACTTCCACTCTGGTATAAGCATCTGCTGAAGCAGGCCACCCAGCCTCTAGTGCTCGTACTTGACCTGCTGGCAATTCAAACACCTAGCCACATACTCTACTATGTCTTTCTTCATCCTCCACCACCAATAATGTTTCCTCAAGTCACGATACATCTTTGTAGCACCCGGATGAACAGAATATCGCGAACTGTGTGCCTCTTCTAGTATCCTCTCCCTTAGACCATCAACATTAGGAACACATAGGCGACCCTGGAGTCGCAAAACACCATTCTCGCCAATAGAAACCTCCTTGGCACTACCCTGAAGCATTGTCTCTCTGAGAACTACCAAATGTGGATCATCGAACTGCCGGGCCTTGATCTGCCCCAATAAGGAAGACTGAGCAACAACGCACGCAAGAACTCGACTGGGCTTTGAAATATCCAACCTCACAAGTTTGTTAGCCAAGGACCGGATGTCCAAAGCTAGTGGCCTCTCCTCTGGTGGAATGAATGCCAAGCTACCTATACTCTCTGCTTTCCTGCTCAAGGCATCTGCGACCACATTTGCCTTGCCCGGGTGATAAAGAATGGTGATGTCATAATCCTTCAGCAACTCAAGCCATCTACGCTGCCTCAAATTGATATCCCTCTGCTTGAACAAGTGCTGTAAGTTGCGATGATCAGTATAAACCTCATATGATACCTCGTACAAATAATGCCTCCATATCTTAAGAGCATGAACAATCGCGTCCAACTCCAGATCGTGCACAGGATAATTCTTCTCATGGATCTTCAGCTGACGCGAAACATATGCAATAACTCGCCCCTCCTGCATCAATACACATCCCAAGCCAATGCGCGAAGCATCGTAATATACCATATACATCCCTGAACCGAAAGGCAATACAAGAACTGGTGCTGTAGTCAAGGCTGTCTTGAGCTTCTAAAAGCTCGCCTCACAATCATCAGACCAATGGAAAGGAGCACCCTTCTAGGTCAATCTAGTCAGAGGTGATGCAATAGATGAAAAGCCCTACACATATCGTTTGTAATAACTTGCTAACAACAGGAAACTCCTGATCTTGGTCGCTGAAGTAGGATGTGGCCAACTCTGAACTGCCTCAATCTTCTTTGGGTCCACCTTAATACCTTTCACTGACACAATATGCCCCAAGAATGCCAATGACTCTAGCCAGAACTCACACTTGGAGAACTAATCATATAGCTTCCGTCTCGTAAGGTCTGAACACTACCCTCAAATGCTGCTCGTGCTCCCCC